TACGCATTTCTATTGATCTGTGTATCTATGCGGTCTTGGGTTATAGGTGATGCCCAAGCCTTTCTTCCCTTCTAACTATATGGTGTGTCTGACTCTCTCTCCTACCTTTCTTTATCCCTGTTTGGATTTCCCACCTGGCTAAATCCTGCCTGTCCATTGGCCAAAACAGCTTTATTCATCAACCAATAAGAGAAACATATATTCATGACCTACCAAAGGGCATGCCCCATCACATTTCCACTGTACAAAAATTAAAGTCGCAGGCAAGTGTCCTATTACATAGTAGAAGGCCTTACAAAAGCCTTGTCTGGAACTTCTGTTAGTCAGTTCAGGGAAACCTCCTACCCAACAACTTACCTCCCCACTACTCTACCCAGTCAGAAGGCATGAAAGTGAGGCGAACTAGTTTGTGTCAAGTCACCTACAGGAAGTTTGACCCTGGTCCTTCATGGGTCTTTTCATGGGTGTGTGCTCAGCAGAGTCAGCCTCCATCTGGGAAGCTACTAACCCAGAAATGCCGCTTTCCTAAAACAGACACACTTCTCCCTGTTGATTGACAGCGGCCCCACAGAAGACCCCACAGTGACAGTTTTGCCCTCTCAGTAGCTTGCTTTCTCCGCTCACCGCACTCCTGTTCACCCCGGTCAAGATAAATGAGGTTCTCATTTATTTTCCAGGCTGGTAATTTGTATTGTCTCAGGTAATCTTCCGATGGATCTACAGGGTTCAAACAGTTTAGCTAAAATATGTATGAGGGAGAAATCATCTGTTCCATGTGCACTGGATGTCTTTGATCTGTGGCATGTGAAGCTGTTGTGTGTAATAGGCTGACCCTCATCTTCCCACCTAGAGCCATGGCGCCTGGGTGCTTTTGCTTGGCTCTGCTGCCATCTTTCCTTGGAGTTGGCTTTAGCAGTCTCTGTAGCTGTAATCCCTAGAGAATACTGGGGCTAAATTGTGTCAGCTATTTTTGGGGCTGTGGTACAAGGGAAGAGAAACCAGGTTCGATAATGCGGACAAGCCCATCCACGGTAAAGGGGACTTGATCACCAGAGTCTGTAGAGGTTTGGCTTATTTCCTGTTAGGCAGACTCCAAACTTTGTTTAGCAGACTCACAGTAGAATGTGATGCTCTTGTCCTGGCTTCAGGACCCCAAGAACCCCAAATCTGTGAATGTTCACATCTCTGAAATCAGTTGCGTAGCGTTTGCATAGAACCTGCCCATGTCCTCCATATATCTTACATCACCCCTGGATTATGCATCATAGTTAATGAAGTGTAAGTGTTACACAATAACCAGACCACATGGTTTGGTGAATAATTATTAGAAGGTTGATAGTGTTCAGGGCAAATGCAGGTATTTTTCCAAGACTTTTGATAATAGGTTGAATCTGTAGAAATGGCACCTAAGGGACAGTGAGCTGACTGCATTTATGTGTCTCATCATACACAATAAAGCTTGTGGATATATGTGTATATATAAGTATATATATATATATACAAATGTATATAGGTATATATATATATACATTTGTTATTAGATTTTATAACATGTACCCTGTAATCTAAAAATGCATTTGTAGACAACTTGATATGTATTTGTGTGTATGTGCATGTGTGTGTGTGCATATGTGTGTGTGCATGCATGCGTGCATGTGTGCATGCATGTGTGCATGTGTGCATGCATACAGATTTTCTTTTTATAGGTGCAGATAAGAACAGAATGTCTCTAATAAAGTTGAAAATTCAGTTAATTCCTTTGCACTAGCTATAGACAGCTATTCACCTTATAGTGCCCAGTACTGTGTTTCTGGGGATATTTAGCTAATGAGATGAATGTTGAAATATGATTTTTTGTGTCTATTGCTATGATAGCATGGTACTAATGTACTGACCAGTCTCTGATTAATAAATGACTGTATTTAGATGTTTACTTTTCCACTTAAGCTTATGTTTGAAAATTTAACTGTTTCTGGGTCCTTGAAAGTCTTAGTAAAGAATTCCATCATTGGGCAATCACATTTCTAGTCAAGTGGCCAACTCAAGAGGCTGTCATCTATCCAGTAGCCTTCAGCCTTATCTTAATTTGAGAAGGTATCAACTTTCTTGGGCTAGAACAATGGCCAGTGGTAAGGGCTCTTAGGGTCCAGGTCTCTGATGGCGTTACAACTGGCCTCTGAGTTGCTGGCAGCAGAAACGCACTGTTAACAAAATGCAGCATCAGGATGGTATGGGGACCCTGCTGCCAGATGGGAATTCTACAAATGACGGCAACACCTGTGTTTTAATTTAGACAGAAAATAAAAGCCCAGCTTGTACAAACTGAGTCTTGAGCCTTTGAGAAGGGACCAGGCCTGGTATTGGTAGATTGGGAGTTTGCGACCATAGCTAGCTGTCCCTAAGTGTGTCAGGGGCCAGTGGTTAGTTAGGTGGGACTTGAGGGTGAGCCCGTTCCCAGAAGTCTCTAGGTGGCCTTCTTCATCCCTGACTTTTTACTCCTTGCAGATTCTACTTCACCAAAATTTTCCCTAGACGGGATCAACTGATGAAGCCGAGCTAGTGTGGGCTGCTCCAGGGCCATGTGTGTGTGTTAGAATAGTGATCACGTGTGCCCTGACACCTCAGTCTCAGACCCTGGCAGTGGATGTGGTAGCTGGAATCCCCCTCCTGCTGTCCTTTGTCCCTTTCCCATCGAGTACTTCACAATGCTCACGATCTTGGCCTCTGGTGGAGGGTTTCCCACCAGCTCCAGTAAAAATCACATCACCCAAAGCTTCGTGAACTTCCAGTTCCTTGGCCTGTGTTTTGGTGATCCACTTTCAGCTAGTGGAGGAAAGCGATCAGGGGAGGGCGTAATTCCCCATCCCATTTGGCCATCCTGGGCAAGGAGCTGTTTGAAGGGCCTATTTTGCATAATGAGTTTTCATTGAAGGTATGCTTGCACATTTGCAGTAATTAGGCAGTATTATTACATTTGCAGTGGGTTTTAAATATTCTAAGGCAGACATCAGCTTTTAGAGGCTCTATATTTAAAACCGTGCTTTCCTCCCAAAAGAAAAATGTAAAAATAGCAATTAGAGTTAGCCTGCGAAGTGACAAGGTCCAGGAGAATGCTTCAAATTCCATCCAGCTTCTCAAGTGTGCTGAATAATGAGCATGTATCCTGTTCTTGGGACCCTTTTCTTGGCCATCAAAGAGAATGTAACATGGGAAATAAAGTGAAGGAACCTATCTCGGTCTTTGGCCCTTTGGCCCTGGGACACACCTCTGCAGCTCCCAGAGCTCCCTGGATTAGGACAGCATGTCCAAGGGAAAAGATTTCAGAGGATCCACAGTGCCACATGCCATTCTCTTTGCATGAGAAGAGGGCACTGGGTGGCAGCCTGAATAGTCTGCTATCTCTGTCCTCTGGTGACAAGACCAATCCTTGGGGGTTATCTCTTGCCTAGCTCCCATGAACAATACACTCTCTGGGAACAGGATTGTCTAACGCTGAGAGGATATTGAGCATGAGACAGAAACATCCACTGCTAAACATCCCATCAACTTCCGCCCTTTTTTGCCTAGGACCGCTTAGCACTGGCTCTCAGTTTTTAGGTAGCTCACTGCCCCACATCTGGATTGCATTTAAGATAATAAGTGGAGTGGGGATGTTGCTGATAGATTATTCTTGACTTTCTAAGTGATGGCTCATGGTAGACCTCAACCCAAGTCGGGTGCCATAAAATTAAAGCAAAGTAGACCAGTTCCTTGGAGTTAAAAATAGCTTAGTGATGCATCCCCAGGGTCAGTGAGCTGTTTGCATTTGTTCTCACTCTGCAAGATGGAAGCACTAGCCATGGGGCAATATGTTCTGATTTAACTCTAAACCAGGTTTCCTAAAACGTGTTTGAGGGTTTGGGTGACCTTAGCAAGGGTCTAACAGAGGCAAGTGATTGAATGAGGAGGAGGAGGAGGCCAGTGAAACCCACAGGAGACTGTGTGGAAGATGGATTGCAGCATGGGACAGTGAGCACAGCAAACTAATGGTACACTTGGATGTAAATTCACTTCTCTAGGAGGGAAATCAAGGACTTGTTTCAGACAACCTTTTGAAGGTGTCTGTGATGTGTGGAGTACCTGTCCCAAACCACACAGCTAGCAAACTGGCCATCGGCTGAAAAGGGCCAAATGCCCTAAAGCTGGTGTGGCATGATGCAGAAGGGTATAGCCAGGCGGTGTGGCGTGGTGCAGCCTTTCTAGCTGTGTGGGGGAGCCTGGGAGGGTGAGGCCAGTGGTGCTTGTCTGGAAGGGAGGGGTTGCTAGAAGAAGAGGTTAATGGAAGCCTGAAGAACTGAGTGATGTGGCTTCTTGCTATTTCAAAGTGATGAAGTACCCACCTTGGAACATGCTTGATACAGACGGCATGCAAGAATGGCATGGCTATGACTAGAGCAGAGATGACTTGGCTTCCTATCCCCCCCCATCCCTAAAACAAAAGACTTTAAGTTAAGCATACACCCCAGGGGTGTTCAGACTTTTGAATGGCCCTGTGGTTTTAGGCTCTGCAAGTGCTGGAAAACTGGAAATGTGCACCACAAGATATATGTCTCCATGTAAAAGAAATGCTGACAGTTAAATTATCAGCTGTTATAAACACAGGGGCTTAATCATAAGTATGAGTGCTTACATCACCTACAGTATAATTGATAGCAAATACACTCACACTCAGGAGATGTCTGGGCTTATATGTCAAACCAAGATAAGCAGAGCTGTTTCCATATCAGGCTAAGATGTTTTTATAACTCCTAGTGTTCAGTGTGTACAGTTTGAAAGGTGAGAATTAGAGAAGTAAATTGACATTTATTATTATTACTATCGCTTTCTAATGCTTGTTTGGGGGAAGATTTGTAAGCTGTGGGGGTTCTTCTTTGTGTATTGGGAAATGGGCGGGACAAGGCAGTTTTTATGCAGGCAGAGCGCTCAGACATCTGACCTTTGTTTTTCCTTTTCTTTCCTAGGATGACTATTTCAGAAACTGGAATCCCAACAAGCCCTTCGATCAAGGTAAAGGATGCATCATGTCTAGGCATGCAAACCGTGGGAAATCCCGGCTTATTTCTCCTTCCTTGTATGCAGAGTTGATATTCTCTCTCTCTGTCTCTCTCTCTCTCTCTGTCTCTCCCACCTCTGTCCCCCCTCTCTCTATCCCCTCCCTCTCTCTCCCTCCCCCCTCTTTCTTGGAGGCTACCTATCTTATTTTATTGACTTTGGGCTCTGAACTAAGTGGGGTGGTAGAAATTATTTAATCAAACTGGGTATTTGTCTGAGGTTATTTCTAGACAGATTTAGACAATTTTTCAAACTTGAGTCAGCTAGTGAAATTATTGATTGATTTTTGTTTAAAAAATAGTAATTATCATGCTTGTGAACTGTGGGGCTGGCTATACACTGCAGTTTTATTCATAGAATGTAATATGCTGAAAGATATTCTTCCTTTCAATGATGGATAAAAGAATAATCCTGGAACATTTTCAAGGATACTTGAAATCAGTTGTTAAATGCATCCCTTTATGGTTTTTATTTTTAAAAACAATTTAGTTATTATGTGTGTTCCTGTGTACACACACACACACACACACACACACACACACACGGTATCAGGCTTGGGGGAAATTAACAGCCCCCCCAGGCCTCAGGCCAACCACCATCCTTGGATGGTGTTGCAGTGTCCACTCTCCGACAGGTGGTTGTTTTCTTTAGTACTTCCCAGTCATCCTAACAAGCATAAAACTTCCCATGGGGGCAGGTGTAGGTCACTGTGTCCTTGGTGACTCACTAGGACACAGTGAGGGCCTAGTTTGAATTGCTGTCTCATGATCGGTAGCTCTTGGCACAGACATCCCTGCTGAGATGATGCGGAACTGTGCTGTGGATAGGCATGTACCATTAAGCCTGAGACTCAGAGACACCATCTACCATGCGTGTTCCCTGGGGTTCACAATTCTGAGCATTGGCTTCAGTCCAGTCACTTCCTCTGGACCCTGCTTTTCTCACCAGGAGAACTGATGTTCGTATTTTCATGTGTGTTTATTATCCCAAACCTTAAAATAGTGCAACATTTTGTTTGTTCACTCCTGCATGTCTTTAGCCATCCATTTTCCTACCCACCTGGAAAATTTATTGAGCTCTCACGGTTTGCACAAATGCCAAGCCAAAAAACCAAGCAGAGAGCAAATGAACCATGTTAGTGTCTGCCAGATCTGCTTCTAGTGAGGAACCAGGAGAAAGAGCGGCCATGATTTCAGTGGGATGTGTTAATGACCACACCCGCAGGGGTGTGCGGGGAAGGGTATATGGCTGAGTAGAGGCCTGTGGCAGGGGCTTGTGGGTCTCTGTATGTTCTAGGGAAGGAGGAAGTGTGTGTGCAGAGATCTTTGCCTGGTAGGCACGTGTGTTAGCCTGCCACTAAATCACCCCAGCAATTCGCAGGAGCATATATGAAGGCATTGGTCATTTATCCTAACTCAAGGGTTCTTCAAAGACTAAACTTTCATTTATGATGAATACTCACGATGCAGAGTGACACATGCCTTGCTTGTGTGATGTGCGACTCCCTCTGCTTCAGGCTCTCCATTGTGATAAAAGCTCAGCTGTGAGGGACCCTAAGCTACCGCTTTGTGCTCAGATGTATACACAGGCTGTTGCTCTACAAGGATCCTAGCAACCATCAGATTTACTCCCTCCTAGGGCATTTAGACAAATGTAGATTCAATGAAGGGGAGACATGTTTGCTTTTAATGCTCATGAGAGAAGGGAATATATGAAGGCAAGTGCCATTCGCCATCTGGATATATAAATGACTACTCCCCTTGCTCTGATGGTCACACAGGGATTTTGAGTCCCAGGGGAAACATAACATTTAAACCTACCTAGGGAAAAAACCCCCTCTGACAAGGGTTTTGCCTCTGTTGTGAATGGTATTCTGACCTGTTCTGTGTGCTTGAGAACTTAAATCTGCTGAGATGATTCTTCTCCCCAAATCTCTGATGCCCAAGGGTGCCGCAGTAAGTCCTACTTGGTATCTCTGCGTGGCTGCTGCGGACATTTATATACACAGCCATGGGAGGACAGTAAGTTGAGAATAGCCTTCACTTAACATATTGGTCCCAGCAGATGTCATCAATTATACTGCGTGCTGCTTAGTAGAAATGGATTGTTACTGATGGCATTGACACCACAGTGAAGACATTGGACATGTCATCCTTGGGAGAGTAAGAGAATTACTGAACTCCACGGGAATTGTCAGAAACACGGAGCCATTTCCATTCTGATGCTGTGATGAAACACCATGACCAAAAGCCACTTGGGAATAAGTGGTTTATTTGGCTCACACTTCCACAGTCCATCATTGAAGGAAGCCAGGACAGGAACTCAAGCAGGAACTTGGAGGCAGGAGCCGAAACAGAGGCTATGGAGGAGTTTGGTTTACTGGAGTTTGGTTTACTGGCTAGACCCCTGGGCTTGCTTGGCCTGCTTTTTTGTACAACCCAGGACCACCAGTCCAGTAACTGTACCACCCATAGTGGGCTGAACCCTCATTGGAAGTCCTCAATCAAGGAAACACCCCACAGACATGTCCAAGGACCACTCTGATGGAGGCGATTGATTCCTCAGTGAGAATGTGTCTTCCTAGGCAACTTTAGTCCGTGTTGAGTTGATAAAGGTTAACAAGGCACTTTCCTGATCTGAGGAAGGATTAAATACAAGGCTTGGGAGGTGGCCTAGCAGGCACAGTGCTTGCTGTAAGAATGTGGAGGTCTGAGTCTGGGTCCTAAGAACCTGCAGGCGCAGTAACAGTGTGCTCCTACAGTGAGATGGGGGATGAGGGCGGGACTCCTCAGAAGCTCACGGGTCAGCTAACCTGTGTACACCAGGGCAAAGAAGAACCTCTCAATGTGGAGGTTGCCCTCTGACCTCATGGGGGCACATACATACCGGAGCACACACATGTACGTGCATGCACACACACACATACATGTACACCACACACACATTCATGCACACCACATACACACACGCACACACGCACACACGCACACACGCACACACGCACACACGCACACACGCACACACACACACACACACACACACACACACACACTCAGGTAGACCACATACATAATGGGGTGATGGGGAGAAAGAGGGAGGGAGGGATATCAAAAGAAGATTTGTATCAGGGAGACATTTACTTGGCAGAGAAAGAACTTTTCGAAAACCGTACTCAGAGTTCATAAAAGCTGCCAAGTGTGTAACATTGTTTGTAGGGACAGAACAGAGGAGGCTTCTTTTGTGAGACACACCTGGTCACGAGGCGTGGAGCATGTGAGCACAGACTGATGGGGGCATGGTGTGGGAGGGAGCACGTGGAGGTTCTCTCAAGCGACGAGGCTGTGTCATCATTGCTCTGGCCTTCCTCAGCCTCAGCGTGGCCTCGCACAGCCTGTGCGTTTGGTGTGTGACTCAGGCTCGCTCCCTCCCCATTGCTGCATAATTGATCTCACCGATACCAGTTACCTCCAGAGCGGAGTCAAGAGTATCCCATTCTCTTTCCACCTGCTGGAAAGGGCTTGATGAGGACAGTTGTGCACGGAGCCCAGCCGAGAAAGGAAATGTATGGAGCCACAATACTGTCATTAAGAAGATAAAAGGGTGGCTTTGTGGGACACAAAATACTGGGATGAAAAAGCCATGAAGAAAATCCTAATGAATTATTGCAAAGGGTCCCAATTGCCACTTTAGAAAAAGAACACCAAAGTTTGTTTGCAGTATTGCTTATGGAATAGCTGGTTTGTTGTTGTTGATGTATGGGTTTGAGAGAGGTTTGGGGTGTGTGTGTGTGTGTGTGTGACTTCCTGCTCACACTGGAATGTTTAAAATGTAACTCTGATGACTTGAAGATGTCTCAGTGTGGTGGAGCACACACGGATTCAGACCTGTGCTGTAGTTGCGGTTCACTCAGGAATGAGCCTGGCAGTTTACGTGGGTTTGAGTCCCAGCTGATGAAACAAACATGTTAAAAGGAATGGCAGAGAGACTCCTCTTCAGGGGACTCATCGGGGGCAAGTGACTTCTGCATAGAGAAGCAGTGGGTGCGTGAGGGATTGCACACAGTCATCGGCTTCCGGGATGGTGCTCCTTCCACAGCATTGGTGTTTAAACGCCTGGCAGGGGCTCACCCTCAGCAGATGCAGGAGACTTCAGAGCAAGGTAGGAACATGCAGGAGTAGATCTGCGGATTTAAAAGGAGCCAGGGAGTCAGATACCTGTCCACATGCTGTTGACTCAGTGGCAGAAAGAAGTAAGCTCTGGGACTTTGACTTCACCCATTATCCCAACATCCCTACAGGCTCAAATCCTGACACAGCCCGGCACCACTGGAGGGGAGTTCCCCATGCCACAGCTGCCTTCCTTTTGGGTCCCCATGGACCCACAGCAAGCTGATTGCTGGGCTGAAACAGGTATGGGGACAGGATGGCTCACTGAGAAAGTTTTGGGAACTCTTCATGTAGATGAACCTAGATTTGTCACAAGCTGGACTCGCTAGGGGTGCTGAGCCTCTGTGGCTTTCTTCTTGGCATGTGATTTAACCCCCCTTCTCCAATGAGTCTCTCGTTTGCATTCATTGGGTCTCGAGAAATAATTTTTAATGCTTAACTCACCTCCGAGGCTGGGAATTGCCATATTTCAGAGGCAGCTGGCCTGGCTTCCCCCTTGCTGCCCCACATTTGGGGGAACAGGCTTCACTTCTCCATCGCCACACAACTTCCGGAAGACGTTCTTCCAGACTCAGCACTTCCGATTCTCCTACACCCTACCCTGCTATCTACACCTCACTTCATATAGTCTTTTCTCCCCCTTTTTTTAATGTCTTGACTCTGACAGTGAAATAACTATTATCTTTTTTTGGTTGTTGTTGTTGTTTTGTAGTATTGATTTCTGAATGTTGCAACTCAATCCTGGCAGAGAAGAGAACATGATTAATTCAAATATCGGTGTTCTTGGGT